TTTGTCGGGTTTAGGGTTTGGGGTTTGTAGGGTTTAGGGTTTGGGGTTTGGGGTTTAGGGCTTGTGGGACCTGCTGAAATCATATAAACCCTAATATAGGAGCCTAAATTCCGTATTTTATAGTTATACGATCATATCCGCCCAAAAAAACCTATTCTAATTATTAAGGCCCCTACATTATTTCTAAGTGAGCCCCAAAACCATTGGTCATTGGGTGTAGGATGGTTCTTAGTTGGTGTGATTTTCTTTTGTGGTTTAGGGCCTTGTTCAGGGTTTGGGGCTTGCTGTGCTGGGATCTTCTGATCTTATGATTAGGGCTCATCCTTTTGTTACTTAGGTGTTTAGTGTTCATTGATCTCGGGGAATTTAGGGTTTATAGTTCTGAGGATTAAGGGTTTTGAGGGTTGAGTGTTTATGGTCTAGGGATTCGTGGGATCTGCTGATCTTATTGATCGTAGGGATTTTGGGCTGTCGCGTATTCAGGATGTACGGTTTAGGGTCATCCTATGGCTTGGGATTTTGGGATGTGGGGTCTTCAGGTTCGTAGGCCCTCCGCATCCCCACGCAGAGAGGGGGCTTGAAAGGTTCGTTTCGATGGGCGCTTAAGGTCTTGAGTCAAGGGAAGTCGTGGTACAGCAATGGGAAGGTGACCAAAGCATCTTTCAAGCGTTGCGTTCTGACTCCGTTTAGGATAGAGGGGCTGTGTAAAGAAGGCGGAATTGTTGATTCTGCCCAGAGAGCCCCGCGGTGCTTAGTGAAGACATCTACCTCAAACCAACCTGAAATTCCTTCAGTCGTTACCCCAATGTAGCAGGTACGAACAAGCTCCTTAAAGGAGTTGCGGAAATTGACTCCTACAACCCACGCTCTGCCTTATCCATACTTATAGGATGCCCGTTTGCGGCTCGTTTTTTTAACCCTACTGTTGATGATATAAATCCTCCATTACCTTAAGGACCCTAACCTATGAGAAGTATGCTCATGGGTAACGCAGGATTTCTATCATCAACCGTGTGAGCCCTACTACAGCGAGGCTGCAGAGGCTTCCCTTTAACCCCTAAAGCCCTACCCTTGCCCTAAACACTAAGTCCTGCTTGAACCCTCAAATCCTGAACCCTAAGCTTGAGCTCCAAACCCTTCCCCAACCGAAGCCCTAAATTCGCCTAGCCCTGAACCCTAAACCCTAACCCCCTAAACCCTGAACCCTAAGCCTTATACCCTAAGCCGAAAAAGCGCAAACTCTAAATGGATAGTTCTCTGACTTAGGGTCCTTTGTGTGGGTCCTGCGGCAATTGCTATTTTGGGGACCCAAAAAGAGACCTAATTTACAGAACTACCCATATTTCCTAAACCCTAAACTAAATCCTAAACCCCAAGCCCTATACCCCAATCCTAAACCCCAAAACCCTAAACCCTAACCTACGCCCCCAAAACCCTAACCTACGCCCCCAAAACCCTAACCTACGCCCCCAAAATGTCCGCAAGGAGGTGGCTTGCCTCGATTTTCCACAGCCTTTTGGCCTGGGCCTCTCTTGGATGGACCCTTAGGCCTTTCTAAAGACCCTTAAGGGTACATAAAGGGTCTAAATGGACCCTTAGGCCTTTCTAGGGACGTACATAAAGGGTACATAAAGGGTATATAGTAGGTGTCGAAGGATCCCTGAACCCTGAACCCTGAACCCTGAACCCTGAACCCTAAACCCCAAAACCCCAAAACCCCTAACCACCCTAAACCCTACACCCTAAACCCTAAACCCATAAACCCTAAACCGCTAACCCCTAAACCCCTAAACCCTAAACCCTAAACCCCTAAACCCCTAAACCCTAAACCCTAAACCCTAAACCCCTAAACCCTAAATTTCACTTATGGATTTCGACTCTGAGCCTGGGGGTGAGGCCT